ACACTGTCTGGGTTGCTGTCTTCCTCCTACCCTCACACAGCCCCTTTTCATGTATGCTCAGCGTCTGGCTTCAAAAGCAGAGCTTGAGAGGGGCCTTGTGCAATGCCTGATGTAGGATGGGATAGCTGAAATGCTGTGTTGGGAAGTCTTAGCGATGCAGGTTTAAACCTCCTTTGGTTGGAGGGTTTGGCAGGAGCTAGAATCTGGGTGTCAAGCTTGCCAGTGCCCTAGTCACTCAGTTACTGGGGCTAAAACAGGAAGGGACTTCCCTTCTCCTGAATCTAACACCTCCTAGTCATGATTTGGGGTCACCTACATTCCAGGCCCTTATACTCTAGTGTGTACAAAGGTGTGCCTACATGGCCCTATATGTACATGGCTGGTGCACAGCCTACTAAGCATGTTCCTTCTACATGCATTGTGTGCATGTCCACATACACATTTACATTCCTTGGAAACTGAATCCCTACCTACACATAAGTGCCAAAAATGCCATTCAGATGACTAAGCAACTGCCATTTAGATGATTAAAGGGAAATAGCTTTCCATTCCTTACGTGCACTGTTTGGCCAAAAGACTTTCATGGCATGGTTCCCACACAGTGGGAACTGTTAAGTAATGATTTAAGATCAAAATGGTACCAAATCTATCAAAATACTTGCTTCTCTTGCCACTTGGGATGCTTAGTACTTTTGATATTCAAGCCAGTATTAGAAACATTTTTCTTCTCATTTACTGTCTAGTATGAAGCTGGAGGAAGTCAACTGTGTACACCACATTCAACAGAGATTAGAAGAGCTGGGCACAGACAGAAGTGACAATTTTACCCAATCTGGTCACAAAGTGGGATATAGCTTTGGCCAAACACAAGTTCACGGTTGCAGACTGCTTAAAAAATGGCTGATCGGGTGAAAATCTGAACCCTCATTGCATGAGGGTTCAGATGAAGGTGTTTCAAAACAACAGTGTCTTCTGTGTCTGCCTCCAAGCTGTTTTCAGAATGGGAGGGGGAAAAGGGAGCGGAGTGAGTTTGGTCTGGGTTTTTTTCAATAGGAGCCTACCCTCTAAGGGTACTACCCTTAGTGGGTAGGCTCCTATGCAGCCACCCCACCCTTCAGCACTGCCTGGGGAACCTCTAGAATGAGCTCCCTCTTCTCCCTTTCCCCCCTCCTATTCTGAAAACAGCATGACTCTCAGGTATGAGGGGCCATTGTTACAGGAAACCAGCTCCAGGCTAGCAGCCAGCACCTAGATTCCCTTCCCCCTGGAACTGAGAGTGAACTTCTGTTTGGTCTGGGGGATGGTTGTAACTCAGAACACTTCTTGCAAAATGTTCTCAATTACACGGGGAGCTGTACTTTTGTCTGTGCTCTGGGGTCTTAACTATCTAATAGCAAAATGAAATTTGAAACATGCTGTTATATCACAAAGTCACTGTGAAAGAACTCTGAGTATAACAATACTTGTTTTTTCAGAAATTTGGTTTTGGTGAATTTAAATTTGGTCTCTTTAAACTTTTTTATATGCAGTACCTGGAAATGCTCTGCAGCCGAAACGCTGAAAGAGCTCATTTAGCTTAAACTTTTGTTGATAGGCATTAGGGGATTTTTTTTTTAGTACTTTATATATAATAAATAAGATGCCACCTTATAATATAAAACTGTCAGAAGTGAGAGTGCAGATAGCAGAAAGTAATAGTTAGAGGTATAGTAAATGAATCATCTTTTTGTCAGCCAGTAAATTAATCTCCAGGCCTTTTTAAAGGATGTTCTACATGTGTAGGTACATTTCTCTCTTTTTTTGCATGATAATTCAAGAGGTATTTTATTCTTCAAAGTAGTGTCTTTAATTCCTGTCTCTTGCAGCACTGTAGAGCATTCTAAGCTGTGGTCTGAAAAGAGAAGTAGGAAAGAAAAGGAAAATAAATACACCTCAAGTAATGTAAACAACTAGGAAGTGTTTGGCTATTTGTCAGTGTGAACTGACTGAACTCATCAGAGAGAACCTCAAGAGATGAGAGCACTGACATGTCATACTCTGTGCTACTGAACATCAGACTATATATTAATAGTACAGGAGAAAAACATCCTACACACTTTCCAGTGACCTGTACAATTAAGGAAACAACACATTTTGATAGTCCCCTGTGTTGGCAATGCATGCTGCCTCCGACACTTCATTAGTATGCATTGTTGTATGATTTGATTCCCTATTGTAGCTGCAGACTGTCACGGGCAGCCATAGGAGGTCCAGGAAATTATACAAGCTATGGATCTTGGAATGGTTTCTAATTAAATGTTGGAAATGACAAGGAACCTGGAACTTGTTTTGATTCATTTCTGTCCCTGTTACTGTCAGCACTTAAATTCCAAATCCAAACACAAATTTTTGTATAGTAACTTAGACTGAGATAGTCCTAAAATATCTATCAATTCATTCTGTATTTAATTAGTACTTTCTGTATAATGGATGAGCATTTTTCCTGTGTTAGGAAGGAGCTCTACAATCAAAAAGCCTTCAGTTTGAATTACTTAGCAGTTCCTGTAACCCAATGAAATGACCATAAAAATTATAGGTTTGATGTATGCTTAGATTTAGTTATAGAGGGTGACCTTACCTCAGAGGGTGACCATGCTCCATCTATGGTACCTTTTGTTTTATACTCAGAATATTTATTTATAAGTAGTGGTTAGCAAAAGGCAATTCATAAATGAGGTAGAAAAAGGAAAGTTGCATTACATGTTGAAATGTTTATTAACATTTTTGACTTTTTCAGCAAGCATTGTTCTCAGTATCTTGTACCATCTTGTTAGCCATTAAAATATTTGCTGTTAATTTTAAGATTTTAAATTGGTTTGTAATATTTTCTAACTATTAGACTAAGCCATGGTTAAGTGCCAGAATATCATTTTCAAGAAATATGTATGGTGCTGTTCAGATTTGAGCCGATAGTAAAACTTACGTTTTGCCATTAAATTTCAATACGAGGAACAGTAGGTCTCAGGAGGGACTTTTGTATGATTTAATGGTCATAACATTTTAACTGCTCTTTTTAAGTGCTGAAGTATAATTACTGGACTATCATCATACAGTGTTCATCCTATTTTTCCAGAAGCAGACTGATATTTAAATTGAGTGCTTCAGGTTATTAGTGCATATTTAAAAAAAAGAAGAAAACCCAACTGGTAAAGCTAACATTGATGCAGAGGGAAAGAAAACAGTAACAGGAGCATCCTTGATTTTAACTACATAGTTAGCATCACAAAAAGTTCACCCCTGCATGTGATGGATCTTTCATATGCAAATCTATAACATGGTGAATATGCATCCGCACTGTATAGTACACAATAATGATGTCACCACAATCATTAAAGTGTAATCTGTCATTGTGTTTCTGTCATTGTGTTTCTGTCATTCTATAAATCAAGACACAAAACATGACTGAATACATTCTGTACTGTGGATCTATACTATAAAACATATTAACAATACTTTGCATTCTGTATTTGTAGCATTCCCAGTCATTGCAGTATGTGCTGGGAATGCATATTAGAAATAACATATTTTACTCAGTTAAATTTTAACATGCTGATTGACATGTTTCCCCCAACACTTTTTAAAGTACAGCTATAATTTCTGCTTCCATCAAAACAAATGATATAAAACTGCCATGACCTATGTTCACAAAATGTTAAAGGTCTGATTTAAAGTCACAAAAGCCATACAGTATATGACTGCATTGCTCAGGGGATTTGTAACAAGAATACTGAGCCTTTAACTCCAAGATAGGAGCAGTAGTGACCTTAATTTATTACTATCCCAAGCCTGCATAGTGGTCTGTATGAGATTTATTATAGTCTGTCCAGTTGCTAGTGGGCAAGTAACATCATCGTAAACTACCTCCACATTTGCTACCTTTGGGAATACTTACTGGAGTTTCCACAGAGGACTCAAGGATTCTGAGGGCATGGAAAGTGAGCTGCTTTATTATCTTACTGGCTGTGATCTGATTTAGAAGAGAGGTACCCTAATGGCGCAGCATAGAAAACACACACTCCCACTCTATTTATTTACTTTACCTGCTTTGATGGAGGATATATAGGTACTTCAACCCACCAGGTTGTCCCTCTGGACACTTTCTTACCCTTGAATCCTGCTTCAACACAAAGTTGTAGGACCAGATGCCACTCTCTGATGGCAGGGATCTGTGATGGACCAGATTTTCAGTTAAGTTTTACAGTCCACTGTAGACATCAGTTGGAGGTTTCTGCATGAGGCTGTGAGTACAGAAGCATGGTTGGTCAATACTCCACTGACACGTCACCTGTTTTTCCATGGGTAGAGGTGGACCTTGGCGCATGGCTTTCTCCTGTGCACCATGCTCCAGTTCCTCTTCAGTCTGATCTAGAACCTGTTATCAAGGTTGTGGCTTCATTTTGCTTGTACATATTTTTCTATGCTCTCCGCATTCATAGCTCCACAAAATCCTGAGACCTCTTCCTTATTCTGTTCTGGGTATTGGCCAAGATGATCATGCATGAATCCAGAGGGATGAAGAAGCTGGACAAGGGATTTCCTTACACTATGGGACTGTTTTCACAGTCTTCCTTCCTTTCCTTTCATGTATCCAGGCAGTATTTCTCTGGTTAGTGTTCACTGATCCATCAAATCCCTCACCCTTGGAGCAGTGAATAGTATGGGACCCTCTGGTTGATATTCCCTATGAATCCATTGTTTTGACCCCATGACTGGCAGTGTTATAACCAGGGATCCTGGTTTTATCTGATTTTAAAAAATCCCCAATTTTCAGTTGAAAAGAAGGAAAACTGTGGATTTGGGGTTACTTTTATGTAACTGAAAATTGGGGATTTTTTAAAACTGGTTATAACTATGGATGTTTTTAAAATGTCTGTGTCTCTTGTTATCCTTTGATTTCTGGGCTCAGTTACTACCATGCCTCAACAGAGGGGCCATTAAGGTTGTATTTTTGGTTGGCCTCTACTTGCCCATCCAACTATGGTTAAAGGTAAGGGCCTTTCATTAACATTAAATTAATGCAACAATTAGCATTAGATGCTATTATGAGCACAGCATGGTGTGACATGTTTGACAGCTTTGTCATTTGTGACCTGAAAGCCCAGAACAAGTAGCTGTGCTGCAGAGATTATTTATAGAGCACTACAATGCCAGAAAGAGTTTGGGATCTCCGTCACCATAACTAGCCTGGAGTGGGGGAGAGGGTAATGAAGAGAAGACGGAACACATCTTGCTAATTTTGCTAATTGCAAATTTTCATAGTTCAATGGCACTAACAGAATTGAAGAAGGCAGATGTAAAATTCAAATTGTGCTATCTGAAAGTTGAGTTAACATTACATAGTCAGATAATATTTGCCTTTTATATTTTTTGTAATACAGGATTTTTTTCCCAGTGAAGTCACTTTAGGTGGGATTTAAAAAAGATGGAAGTCAATGATATTTGTGCTCCCAAGTCACTTAATTTGGAAAACCACAACATCTATGATACTGGACATTTCTTTATCTCTCTGACAGCCCCCTATTTATTGGTATTTTATTTATAATAAACCTACAGATTATTGAATTTAAAGTAATCCCTTACTATTGTAAAGGTATCATCACAAACCGACAAAGGCAAAACAACAACTGACTTCTACATGTTTCATATATTTAGATATGAGTACTCTGAGAAATCCTCACCCTTAGCGGGAAAGACCACTCCTCTGAATGAAAGAGGAGATCAGTCTCTGCATTTATTTCTTGACCTCTTTGCTGAGTGTTAGAAAGAATGTTCACTCTATCAACTGTTTCTATCTTACAAAGGTGCGCCTAAGCAGGAGATGCACAGAGGCTCATCTTACACATGTTGCCAAAGAAATAATTTGTTTTTCCTGAAAAGGAAGAGCAATTTAGAATGGGTCACAGTTCGGATGGCAGAGCAAGAGCTAATTCTTTGGGGGTTGCATAGGGCCCATCAAATTGGGGTCTTCAGCTTTTATGGTAACTTAAAAGAATAAAAATAGAGAGTTAACTGTTGAAATTATATTTTTCATTTGTGAGTTAACATTTAAGTGTAATATTGCTAAACCATATGAAATATTACAATAATAGAACATACCATCTTAATTTGACCTTAGCTTTATTCTCTCCTCCCAAAACTATGAATGACAAGTAACATACACAGAAAAACATTTACCTTAGGTTACACTAGCGTAACTTACTTATATCTGGTATAGAATTGCAGGAAAAATGAAAGTTAATCTGTACAGGTATAAGTTACACAAGATAAGATACTGTCTGTCTACAGCTCAAGAAATACCTGCTGCCACACTTCCTAATGAAAAGGTGGTGTGACAGAACCTAGTGGAGATCTGTATGTCTGTCTGCTCCAGATCTTAATGTAATTTTCATTAGTATGTGAAGCTGATGCATATTATCCCTGTGCATATGTATTGCCTGTCCAGTCTCTGGCTTTCGAAAATTTTGTTGTAAGAGATTTTGCCAAGGCAACAGAGTCAGCTCAGTCAAACCAGGAATAAGTCCTACAGAGATCTGATGGAAAGATGGCAATATCACTCATCAGGGGTACTTCATGTATTGGGCTATGTGTAAGAATCTCACTTTACAAAAAATAATTTGCTTGAAGTGACTAGTAAACTAGAGAGGCATTCCTTTTTCATCTGACTTAGCTGTGCACATTGAGGAAAAATATCATCCGTCATGTTGAGGTTGTTGAATTTTAACTGACTGTGGTTCACATCTAGTGATAAAAATGAATCTACAGTTAACTTGCTAGATACCTATTAAGCTGTAATGTGTTTTGGGTTTATCAATAAACTTATATAGACTCTATGAAAGTCTACATAAGCTTATTGATAATGGCCTTGGGTCCTTTTGATTCATCTGTACCTGACTATGTAGAAAGATTGTCCATTTAAGCACATGGATTTCCATTCCTTGTGTACTCTAAAAATGACCTCATCATGTGGAAAAGTCTCCAGTGCAGTCAATGTTGGTAAATGGTGTATGAAGTTAGGGGGAAGATAAAAAAACCTCTGAAATTCACATGAAAAATGGCAACAAGGCAACATAAACATGGCTGTGCAACCTTGAAAAGTAAAATATGTTAAAGGAAGTTAGCTATAATTTTTTTTTATTGGACAGTTTTATGTATGTACAGAAGCTACTGGTATTTAAATTTTATCAAGACAGGGATGAAACTGATATATACAGGTTTGCAAGGTCTTTTATCAGGTTAGTCAAAATATTAATGGAAATGGCTTCACTATGTTAGTAGGCTTCACGTCTCCTGAATTTTATTTCATGGTCTTTGTATTATCCCCTGATTTCACTATTTTCTTGTTACATTTTCCTGTAATTACCCAGTGTAGGTAACCAACTTGGATCTTACTCCTTTACTACTTGTCTACCTTTAAGTTGTTTGCAGGGAGTTCAAAAGATTCTGGTGAGGCCACGCATGGAGTACTGTGTTCAGTTTTGAGGCCCCCACTATAGAAATGATGTGGACAAATTGGAGAGGGTTTAGTGGAGGACAACGAAAATGGTGAGAGGGCTGAGGCGCATGACTTATGAGGAAAGACTGAGGGAACTGGTTTTATTTAGTCTAGAGAAGAGGAGACTGAGGGAACTTAATAGCAGCCTTCAACTCCTTTAAGCACGGTTCGAAAGAGCATGGAGCTAGACTGTTCTCAGTGGTGGCAGATGACAGAACAGGGAGCAATGGTCTCAAGTAGCAGCAAGGGAAGTTTAGGTTAGCTATTAGGAAGCATTTTCTCACCAGGAGGGTAGTAAAACACTGGAACAGTTTACCCAGAGAGGTTTTGGAAGCTCCATCCTTGAAGGTTTTCAAGACCTGGATAGACAAATCTTTGGCTGGGATGATCTAGTTGGGGCTGGTCCTGCTTTGAGCAGAGAGTTGGATTAGATGACCTCCTGAGGTCCCTTGCAACCCTCACTTTCTATGATTCTATGCAATTAATATACCACTAGCCTTAAAATAAGATATGCTCATTTTACCTTGTTCGTATGTCCATATACAGTCTCTGAGCCCTGTGTCTCATAGTTCCACAATGAAACAATATGTTAATAGACCACTTTCAAATCAGACCATTTAATCTCTATCCTAGTTGGGGTAATTTCTGTTTCCTCTTCCATTTCTTAATTGTTCTGATTGGGTTCATTGTCAGGTGCAAGATAAGCAGGTTTTGTGGCATGATCATGTTGTCTTAGTTTGTAGCTGAGTGTTACAGTGTTAATCTCCAGGGGTGGCCCTGGAGCCCTCTCAGCCCTTGTTAACTTGGTTCTCTTTGGGAAATCTCCCCTTCTCCTTGCTTGCCAAGGCTGCCCCTGGGCTTCCCCAGGGCTTCCCAAGTCAGATATCCTCATGAGTGCCAGTGTTGCTGCTTATTGCCTTAAGGGCAGTGATATAGCTCTGACCACCCCTTACACCATGCCCATGCCGCACAGATGATATTTATTTCTCTCTCCTTCTCTGCTGTTCCTAACACCCATCTTTGTCTATGGGCCCCTGGCCCTACTGACACATGCCTTTCCTGGCCTATAGGCTGTGAGCCCCAGTCCTCACCCCTCCTGGGCTGTGGGCTCCTTGGCCCCCTCAGTTTCTGGCTGTGACCCTTAATCTTTGGCCCCTTTCTCTGGGCCTTGGCCCTGCACCTAGGCCAGTCAAGATTCATGGGCTTCCCTGGCCCTGTCAGTCTCTGACTGTAGCTCTCCTCAGCCTTTGGCTCATCTTTTTGGCTCTGATCCCACTCCTGGGCCAGTGAGACCTTTGGGCTCCCTGGCCCTGTTTACACTCACCCTTCCTGGGCTATAGACCTTTGGGCTTCCTGGCCCTGCTGAACTTGCCACCTCCTGGGCTACAAACCTCCAGGGTTTCTGGCCCTCTGGCCTCTCTCTCCCTTCTGGGCAAGCTTTCCTCTTCTCCTTAGTCCCTTCCACAAACCGCCAAGTTCTTACCCCCAGCTCAGATATTAAACAGGATCCCTGCTGCCCAGGAGCTCCTCTCCCGATGGGTCTCAGGGCTAGACTGCTTGACCAGCTCAGGTCCACTTCAAGCCCAACCCCCTTCTGGTCAAGTGACTCTAATTGGCCTCTGCTACACCTGCAGCTTGCTTCTCATGCAGCCTCTTCCCCTTGTAGCATGCTAAATGCCTTGTCACATTGCATTATATTTGATTCAGTCCCTACTCTTGCAGTATCTCTCCACAAGCTGCTTGAAA